AGGTCATGATCCCGGGGTCCTGGGATCGAGACCCACATTGGGCTCCCAGATCAGAGGGACGCCTGCTTCTCCCTCTCCCACTCTCCTTACTTGTGTTCCCTCTCTCACTGTCTCTCTCCCTGTCAAATAAATAAACAAAATCTTAAAAAATAAATAAATAAAGATTAAAAACAAAAAACCCAGTGGGACACTTGGCTGGCTCAGGAGGAGCATGCAACTCTTGGTCTCAGGGTCGTGAGTTTGAGCCCCATGTTGGGGATACAGCTTATTTAAAAAAAAACAAAACTCTTTTTTTTTTAATTAAAAAAACACCACGGGCACCTCGGTAGTGCAGCTGGTTAAGCATCCGACTCTTGGTTTTGGCTCAGGTCATGGTCTCAGGGTCCTGGGACAGAGCCCCCAGCTGGGCTCCACACTCAAGACACAGTCTGCTTGAGAATCTCTCTCCCTCTCCCTCAGATCCTTCTCTTTCTCTCAAAACATAAAATCTTTAAAAAAAAATAATAAAATAGGGATGACCAGGTGGCTCAGTGGGTTAAGCCTCTGCCTCCAGCTCAGGTCATGACCTCAGGGTCCTGGGATTGAGCCCCGCATCGGGCTCCCTTTTCAGCAGGGAGCCTGGCTTCCCCCTCTCCCTCGATGCCCTACTTGTGCTTTCTCTCTCTCTCTCAAATGAATACTTAAAAAGAAATAGGAATAATAAAATAAAAAATCCCACAACACCCAGACAGTAACTGTAATTTAGAAGGCCGCGTTTGGGAAGAACTAACTCATAGCAGTCCTCGGTCCTGCTTTCTAGTTGTGGCCAGCAGGCCCGGAATGTTTCTGGCCGGTGGGGGGAAAGGCAGGGTCTGGGGCTATGCGCCCTCCCCCACGTCTGCTCTGGCTCGGAAGCACCTCTCTTTGCCTCCACCTTTTTTTTTTTTTTTTTTAAAAGATTATTTATTTATTTATTTGACAGAGGGAGAGAGACAGCAAGGGCAGGAACACAAGCAGGGGGAGTGGGAGAGGGAGAAGCAGGCTTCCCGCTGAGCAGGGAGCCCGATGTGGGGCTCAATCCCGGGACGCTGGGATCATGACCTGAGCCAAAGGCAGACGCTTTAACCCACTGAGCCACCCAGGGGCCCCTCTTTGTCTCCATTTTTAAGGGAGATGTGGTTGTTCTCCTGGAGACTCGGTGCAGTTACCATGGCTGACCTTTAAAGACGATTGGTAAAGGCAGCACCGGCCACTTAGTCTTAATGGCTTTGTTTAAAAAGAAAAAAAAATTTTTGAAAACTGTTTTTAATATTACAACGTGGCAAGAAGAGAAATCCCAGGCCTTGTGCTAGCAGCGGTGAATCTGCTGCCGTAATGCGGGAAACCGGAAGAAAACCTCTGCTTCGGGGTATCTGTTTGCTGATGAGAAAAGGCAGACCGGCCATCTCTACAGAGGAGCATTAGGGCTTTTCCTCCAGCTTAACCTTATCCAAAAGTTCTCCCTCGAACTAAATTACTTTTATGTAGGGGCACCTGGGTGGCTCAGTGGGTTAAGCCTCTGCCTTCGGCTCAGGTCATGATCCCAGGGTTCTGGGATCAAGCCCCGTCTCGGGCTCTCGGCTCAGCGGGGAGCCTGTTTCCTCCTCTCTCTCTGCCTGCCTCTCTGCCTACTTGTGATGTGTCTGTCAGATAAATAAATAAAATCTTTAAAAACAGTAATAATAAATTACTTTTATGTAACCAGAAGCAAACAGTCTGGGGTAAGACTGCTCCCACTGGGCTCCTTCCTTACGTAGTAACAGATGCCGAGGCCCTGTACACTGCACTGTCCTGTAGGAGTCTGGGGTATCGCTAGTAGTTTCTTTAGGGCTGGGATGAGTCTGATGCAACGACGGCTGCTGAACTCCCACCTTGTCTCTCAAACACGATTCTTCTCCTACGTGCTACGTGCCTGACTGTCTGCGAGGAAGAAGGCTCTTTGCCTCCTGGGGAGCCCTCTGCCTATTTCTCCCACAGGGTCACACTGGGTGGGCATCTCCTCGCTCCGGTCCTCCCACTCGACTGCCTACTGCCAACCTTTCCCGATGGTCAGAAATCAGATAAAGAGTCAGCATTTTTAAGGTCTGTGTAGAAATTTTCAAAGGCAGCTCTGCAAGCCAGCAGGACTCGTCATGTCAGTTACAAGGGCAAAGCCCGCACAGCCAGAGACCGAGACGCCGGCGCTTGCCACCTACAAGTCCATCCAGGGGCTCTCCCCGGCCCAATTAAGCCTGTCTCTCCACAGTTCTTCAGGAAAACAACAGCCAGCGACGGGACTTGGCCCTTGCTATGACAGCAGCTTCATGGCTGGTAACCCCCTTGATCTACGGGGGTGGCCACCGCAACCAGAGAGGGGCAGACAGGTCCATGGTGCAGTTCCCGAGGGCAGGGCTGGCGCGCAAGCCTGTGTCTGCGGCCTCGGCCCCGCTCCCGGGAGCCCACTGTCCCCAGCGACCATGGCTCCCATCTAATGAGCCACCCCAGACCCAGACCTCACTCGCCATCTCTTGTGGCTGCCACCATGGGCAGTAAGTGCGGGACGGGGGTTTGTGCTCTGCTCAAGGCTTTTTCAACCAAACCTGTGGGCTGCACCTGCTTGGAAGGCTGCGGGAGGCTTGGGTTAGCCGGCTCCGGTGAGGCCTTCTGGACCAGAGCGGCCAGGCACGCCGCAGCTACTCTGCACCAAGAGCCCCGGCCTGGGGCGTTCCAGCTTCTGTGTTATCAGATGCACGTCTGTGCTCTCGATTCCCTGCCTCGAAAAAGAAATGGGCTTTTCCACAGAACTGGGAATGGCTGTCTGTTGGACACAGTGCCAAAATGGTGACAGTATCTGGCCCTCTTCCTTAGCTGTACCATCGCCCGAGGTCTCTGCAAGGCCGTCCTGGTAGCCTCTAGCCGCAGCCCTGTGCTGGCTAGCCAAGCATTTGCTCGCTTCCTGGCTCTCTGCTCAGCAAGCTTGGTGCAGCTCCTCCTCACAGCCCGGCAAGGCTGGGTCTCGGCCTCAAGGACCGTGCCCTGCCAACCACACGTACACCCTCCGGCTCCGAGTCCAGGGGAATGCGAGCGGGAGGCCAGAAGCAGCACAGTCACTCACGGCTGAACTTGAGCTGCATGGGGGAGAGCAGAGGCCTCATGCATGCTGAGCTCATCTCTGGGCTAGATGGTTACGACGCACAGCCTTAAGGCTGTCCATCCTGACCGCCCCCTTCAGTGTCTTCTCATCCACGATGCTGACCACAGAGGTTTGAGAAGAAGAAAACAAACTTACTCAAAACATCATCAGTTAGACATTACGTGGCTGCGGAGAGGGGTCAGAGAAGTGGAGGGCACTGCCCAGTACCGGGGAGGCAGCCCCAGCCCCACGGCTGGGCAAGGGGAATCCCCAGCAAGCCAGTGTTCTGGGGGTGCAGCTCTCTGACCTCCCACAACAGCATGACACAGAAAGAAGAGCCTGGGCCCGGAGCCAAGGTAGACTGGGTGCGCTATGCCTCTTCCAGGTCATGTGACCTTGGTCCAGCCCCTCCCCACCCCCAACTTCTCAGGTCCACTTCCTTCCCCAGTAAACACCAAGGACACTCTGAACCCTACCATCTTATGAGCTCTTACGTCCCCTTAAGTTGAGAACTTTAAACCAGTTCACAGCTTGACACCCCAATCAATAAACAGCCTCTTGACAGACGGATGAGATCCCAAAGCAAAGTAACGACCAGAAGTAGGAATGACGGAAGACACTGAGTTTTCATAAACAAGCTTTTCACCAAACTGGCACAAAACCACTCTGATTCAAGAAAAAGGCCCGATATGGAAACAACCTTCCGTTTCCATACTAAAGTAAAAAATGTGTTAAGCCTAATTAATTGAAAAGAAACGTGGCTCGTTTAATAAGAAACTCTGTATTCATAAACTAGAGACTGTCACCTAACGCCTAGAATAACAGAAGGTCAGAGAAGCCTAGAGATCACCCAGGGCAATTGATTCATTTGATGAAAATCAAAATCCGGAGTGGGCAGGCGATGTAGACAAGGTCAGAGGGGCAGAGCAGGGATGGGAGCCCACATGCCCTGCATCCTTGGTTCCGGCACACACCGGGAGGTACATATTTCATGGTGAGAAGGCAAACTGGTTTCCTACAACGCATGGTTCTTTGGACTGTTCATGAAGAAGTGACTTCCAGGTTGCAGAGACATCCTGGAACACCATCAAATATTTCCAAATTCCATTTGTAATTTCTCAGAAGCCACAGCAGAATTTCTCAGCCTTTCCCACGTAAGCTAACAACCTTCCCAACTGAGGGGACGACAGGGCAAAGACATTTCCCCAGGTGCTGGGGCAGCAACCCAATGGTGGCTCTCTCCTTTGGTGTTTACATCAATCACCAAACACATCCATGTCACATTCCTCGGAAACACTGAACAGGGGACAAGGGAAAGATCTCGTGACCACAGACCGCTTCCAGCTGCAGAACCCTAAGAAGATCACATATCCTTTTTCTAGCCGGATTTAGAATTGCAGCCGCCAAACACAGTAATGGGAGTCTATCTAAGGAAGCTGGTTTGCAAACACGCAAACACACACACACACACACACGCGCGCGCGCGAGAAGAACAGACGTCTGGAATGAGAGGTGGGTATGCGGGGAGGAAGGGAGGCCTGGTCGGAGGTTCCTGGCCGCTGAGGCTGCAGGCTCCTGTGCCGCCAGAGGCTGGGGGGGGGTGGGGTGGGGTGGCATGAGGGGCGGCCGAGGGCTCCCTGGCCCGAGCATCGTTGGGGGGACGATCGGGGGCTCCGAGGTGGAGGGGGCGAGGGGGTGTGCCTCTGGGGCCGAAGCAGCGTTGTGGGGGGCAATCGGGGGCTCCGGAGTGGAGCGGGCGCGGGGGGGCGGCCGAAAGCTCCGGGTGGAGTGGGGGGGGCGGGGCGGGGGGGCGGGGGGGGGGCGGGGGGGGGCGGGGAGGGTCTCCGGGCGGCCGGCCCGGCCCACGCACCTCCTCGGCCTGCTTGCGCAGCGCCTTCTCCCGCTCGTACTGGGTGAGCAGCTGCTCGTTGTCCTCGCGCAGCAGCTCCAGCTCCACCTCGTGCTCCTGGTTCTCGCTGAGCACCGAGTCCAGGTTCTCCAGCACGTTGACCACGAGCGGCATGAGCTCCTTGACCACCTCCTCGTCGTAGCAGTGGATGAGGCGCTCGAACTCGCGGTAGATGGAGCCCGCCAGGCCCGACACCCGCTCCGACATCACCGAGCCGGAGCAGTAGTCGTCCTGGTACACCACCACGCCGCCGCCCTCGTCCATCTGGATCTCCATCATCGCGGCCACCGCCGCCGCCAGCGCGGCCCGCTGTCCGCCGGCGCGCCCGCCCGCCCCGGCCGCCCGTAGTCCGCAGGCCGCGGCCCGTCGCTTCCGCCGCCGCCGCAGCCGCTGTCGCCTCAGGGCTCGGGCGCCGCCGCCGCCGCTGCTGATGCTGATGCTGCTGCCGCCGCTGCTGCTGCTGCCGCCGCCGGCGACGCTGCGCCCGTCAGTCAGCGGCCGGAAGTGCTGCTGCCCGGAAGTCCCGCCCGAGCCCCGCGCCGCTGCGCCGCTAGGGGTCGCCCGGCCCGTGACGTAGAGGTAGGTCGCCCCCGAGACGGAAGGTCGGCCGAGCGGGGCCGCGGGCACTTCCGGTCCGGCGCATCGCCGACGCTGCCCGCGGGCGCCGGTTACCCACTGCGGGTTCGCCCAGCTCCCCGATGACCGCCACGCCGCAGAGGCTGTCGCGGTCGCCCGTCCCGCCCGCACGCCCCCCGAGGAGCCCCGGTGTCCTCGCCCCCCGTGCCACCGGCCGCCGGGAGTTTGGCCGCAGTGGCTGTTGGCGTGTGCGTCTCGGCAGGCTGCGCATTCGCTCGCTCGCAGCCGCTCCTGGGGCTCTGCGGCCGGGGCGGATCTGGCCGGGCAGTCCGCTTGCCGCCCCGCCCCTCCTTCGCAACTAGGGTCCCCTGGAACTTGCTGGAAGGACGTGGAAGCCTGGATGCGGAGTTGCTGCGGACGGACTTGCGTTCTTTCCCTGGCATCTGAGGACAGCTTCGGCCCACGACTTAAAGACGCCCGCAGCCGGGGCCGCACCGCTAGCGCCTATAGAAAGGCTGCAAGGTCGGGCCATCCTGACCGGTTCGCGCGCCCGCAGACGATGCCCTAAATACGATGACACGAATGTTCCCCCTGTGACCTGATTCGTTCTGCGGGTGTGTGCACGCCCTCTCCATTAGGAGGGACACTGAGCTTTCGCCTCCGATTCAGACTGCGTGGATCTGAATGCTAGCTGGGTCACTCGGTCATGCCAAATGTCATTTCCCATCGGACCCTAGACATGTTACCCACCTCCTGGGAAATGTAGGAACACGAATGAGCTGATCCATGAAAGGGACTTGGCACAGCTCTAGTCAGTAGTAAGCACACAATGCAGGATTACTAGGTTTACTCTCAAAATGAGGAGCCAGGACAAACAGGTTATGTTGAATTTTTCCTGGTAAGTTACAAAGAAAGCTTATGAGTGTTTTGGGCTCATGTTTAAGACATGCCTTAGGCCTTTTCTCAGACACATGACCCCTTTGACTCCCCGAAGTGACAACTGTAGTCCTGCAGCCCCCACCGTGAGAGGCCAACGGACTTCGCCACCAACTTTATTGCTTTGTATTACTAGCATAATTGGGCACGTTTACTTGAAATTGGCTAAAACAAAAGGACATTTTAACAAGATGATAACATTGAGTAATTCCTGAGGCTTACCGAAGGGTGCAGCAGGTGCGCTCAAAACTCAGGCAACCTAAATTAGAACTCGCTTTTAAAAGAGACTGGCGGGGCGCCTGGGTGGTTCAGTGGGTTAAGCCTCTGCCTTCGCCCCAGGTCATGATGTCAGGGTCTTGGGATCTAGCCCAGCATCGGGCTCCCTGCTCAGCGGGGAGCCTGCTTCCCTTCCTCTCTCTCTGCCTACTTGTGATCCCTGTCTGTCAAATAAATAAAATCTCTTTTTAAAATGCTGTTATAATGTTTTTTAAAAAATAGACTTGCTTTCAGATTTGTTAGGTAATGGGAGATACAAATTTTCTTCTCACTGCAAGACCCTAAAATGTAAGATGAGAACACAGGTCTCAAACGTTCCACTTTAGCCCGTCAAGAGGATGGAGCACTGGGCTTCCAGGAGTGTACTCGCTGAGATGAGAGCTGGGTAACGTACGGAAATGTGGGATCCTGTACTGGACACCTGACACTAACAGCACACTGTATGCTAACTGACTGGAATTTAAACAAAAACTTCTCTAAAAAGGTCTAGTTTAATTTGCTCCACAGTCATCTACGTCCCTGTAACATCCCTCTCAGTTCTTCCTACACTGAATTTTGATGGCACTTTGTAGTCCCACATAAAATAGGAATGTCCCGTTCATGATCTCCAATAACAAGGATCAAGGATATCAAGTGAGGAAATGAGCTGGATCACACAGAAGGAATATACCCCCTCACCTGGTTAGGAAAGTAATAACAAGTTACGCTGTTGCAAGAGCCAGTTCGTTTCTGGAGGAAGCAGAGGACATGAAAGGGCAACCCTTTCACTGCTGTTGGCTCCCTCACTGTAACCGACGTGCAGCTACCTTGTTCTTGGACGTGAGAGGTGGCCGTTGCCTAGCCCCTGGAGGCAAACGGGTTGGGACTCTGCAGGCCTGAGCTGGCCTTTGACTGGAGCAGCTCCTGCAAACCGGGGTGTGATGTTGCCAGTCTCGTCTGGCCCAGGTCCTGAGACAGGCTCTGCACTCAAACATGTTTTCAGATAACAAATGAAGACGGAGTCAGGCAGTGTAGGTCAGGTGTTTGGGTTTTGTTTTTTTTTAAATTAATTTATTAGAGAAAGTGTGCACATGTGAGCCGAGGGAGTGGGGAGGGAGAGAATGTCCAGCAGACTCCCTGCTGAGCATGGACCCTGACACGGGGCTCGATCCCAGACCCCGACCGAGACCCTGACCTAAGCCGTGATGAAAAGTTGGAAGCTTAACCACCCCACTGCCCCTATCAGTTTCTTTCTGACATGCTGTTTTGGTGTTGGCCTTGGGCCAGCAGGAAGAATGCTGTGCAGCCTGTGAGGCGGGTGTGTGTATAGTCTCTAAGCAGGTAGTCTGAGCGGTTTCATCATCTTAGATCCACAGAATGCATACAGATTCTGTCTGCTTTTAGGATATACGAAAATACCTAATATATGAGGAAAAGATCCTCAATCTGTGCTTTCTGTATAGGATTTTAGCCTACAGGCAAACCAGAAGCTGAGCACCCCATCTACTCCTTACCAGGCTTGTTACTGGAGTTTCAAAGCCCACTCAGACGCAAGTTCAATACCTTCAGTTCCTGTACAAATGGTGTAGGAGAACACTGGTGTATTCCTTCTCATTCTACACAAAGCTAAGTCTTTGGTTTCCAAGTTTAAAAACCTTAAATCTGTAATCTTTGAGAAGGAGATTAGTTTGGGCATCCTCTGGCTAAATGGAGGGAGAAAAAAAAAAAAAAGGCAAACCCATTCAGAGAAAAGCTGTCAGGAAACAGCAGGGCTCAGGCACCGTGGAGAACGGATGTTGAGGAAAGCACACGTGGACATGCACACTAAGAACTGACAAAGGCCTCGAGTACATGATTGCTAAGTTTAATTCAACGGTTATACCCAATCCTGCCTTGTAAAAACAACAAAATGCCCCTATCAAAACTATATTGTGATGTGAGTACAGGCTTGTTTTTGATATAGCTCTAGAAAAAAGTTGGCACCAAATGCACATAAAAAAAGTTTTAAGACTTAATAAAAATACAGACTAATAATTTCAAAATGCAGCTTAGAGGTTGAGAACAGAATGCTAGGTTAATAAATTTCCAAACTCAGGCAGTCCCCGACGTATAGAGCATTTCCCAAATATAAATGGCCACTTCCATCAGGCTCACCGGGGCAGAAAGTCCTCTCCCGCTTCTCTCAATGACCAGACTACCAGGCACTCTAAACCCAGTTCTGCGGCCCCAGGGAGGGAAGGCCGGGGAAAGGAGGGAGGGCATCTCTGCACACCGTGTAGAGGCTTCTGCTACAGTCGTTCTCTGCCTCCATCCCCACCACTGCTCCCCATCCGCACCCGTGACCCCTGCTGGTGGACAGGACTAGGTGGACAGAGGGGACAGGGCCGCAGCCACAGGGGCTGGCAGCACGATGTCAGAGTTCCTTTGAAGCCAATTCGGCATCCAGAGATCATTTTCTTGCGTATTAAAAACCACAAAAAACACAGTCATAAGTGGTAGTTCATTTCTATCATGAGAATGTTGCATTGTTAAGCAAAAGTTAGTGTGTTTGGGCTTAAACCCTAACTACCATTTATGAGATTTCCTAATGGGGGAAAAATGCTCTGAATTCCAAACAACTTTCCTCTAAGTGGCCATCTGAAGGGTGGAGACAGGAAGTACTTGAGAGAGTCACATGGAAAGTTTCTAGCCTCCCGAGTGAACAGGACAGTTGGAAGGGGGTAAACAAAGGGTCTTTGGTTGACAAAGCCACGTGCAGGTCCCCCAGCGTGCCCGGTGTAAGAGGCAGAGCTCGGCAGGAGCTCCCGCAGGCACTTCAGTGACTAGGCCACGGTGGGCGCGTGGAAACAGTGGTGTGGCTTTTCTCCGTTTCCAGCGTGATGCAGTATTTTCAGCACCCAGGGTTAGCTTGGGAGGCACTCACACCAGGACGTACCCCCACCCAAAGCCTGTCCTCTTGTTAACTGTTGGTCCGACACGATGAGGTGTAGGACTGAGACTGCTGCCCTGTAGGGTCCAACAGGGAGAAACTTTGCTGCTGGGACTGAGACACTCTGGCCAGCCCATTATCTCTGCCAACGAGCATCATGGAATCGGCCCGTTGAGCCTTCAATGTCAAACTGGTCAATTTTCTGGACCAAGGTCTCCAGGCTCCTTCTGGAAACTGAGTATGGTCCAGAGGTTCCACAAAGCTTTATAAAGAGCAGGCAAGCAAAGTTCCTTCCTCTTGGTTGTACCTGAGCCAACTGCCTTTTTCCTAGAAAGGCGTCAGAAACAGGGCAGAGTCAGCGGTCACTTACGTAAAGCTGGTGTTTTAGAAAAGCTCTTCAGGTATTTTTAAAGATTCGAACTGAAGAACCCAAGGTTCTGAAGTGCCTCTTCTTCCCACCGTCAAGAGGAGTGACGAAACATGAAGGGTCTCAGTCACCCCATTGCCTGCATGCATGAGGACAGTTCGACAGATGGGGGGGTGCCATGGGGAGAACTGCGGCTCGACGAGGGAGCCGACTGCAGCCCCGGACATGGGCGCGGGCCTCGAGGGAGGCCGCTGAGGAAAAGCGGGAACAATTCACAGCAAAACCAGCCTGGGTGTAAAAGGCAGAGGTTCCTACGTAAGATCTGGCCAAGGTTTTAGATGGCAGAAATGAAGCACCTCAGAGATCAGAGCACAAAATCTTACTGTAAAGCATGAGACCGAGAGCGACGTTTTGGTGTTTGCTGATAGCTGCCAAGGACCAGCGGCCGAGGCGGCTCAGGCAGTTGCCGAGCAACACAGTGGGGCTGACCGGAGGGGGCAGTGGGGCCCGCAGAGGCTATCCCGGGGACGGAAGCTGTCCCGAGGCGAACGGGGTGAGGACCCGAGGGGCCAGAGCACCCCGACCCCCAGCCGTAGTGTTTCGGCCTATGCCTTGTTCCTCCGTCCTACAGCAATACACAGGTCGTTTCTTATTTTCCTGCCAAGGCTTTAAACGGAAACTGCTACTGTGCTAGTGACCCCCGGGCCCCCGCTGGCCAGCCCACCCCACCAGGCCTCCCGTGGCCCTGCACCACCTGCTGCACGCCCCTCGCAGAGCACCGTCCCGTCTGCAGTTCCAAGTGAGTCCCGTGTTATCCCCACCAGGCCAGGTCTTGGCAGCCCGTGGGCGAGGTCCGCCGGCTCCGCGAGCAGTGGCTTCAGGGGCACAGCAGACCCTCTCCCCACTTGGCTCCTTTGGGCTAAAAGAAACTACAGTATTTGAAATCCTATCTCTTGGGGTCCTCGTCTGGCTACAGGTGAAGCAGCAGCCCCTCTTAGTAGAAGGAGATACTGGATTTGCCTCCAGGCGGGTTGAGGACTTTGTTGTGAGAACGCGGCCGCGGGCCCAACCTGGGTTCATGGCTGTCACCCGTGGGCATGGGCACCGGCTGTGGGGCGCGGCCCGCTTCTCCAGGGCCTCCCTTCTCACCCGCCTCTTCTCTGGGCGACGTGCTTGTTGTGGCTGCGGGACAAAGTTGGCATGCCACCCCGTTACAGGCCACCCAGGACCAAACCGGCGAGCTGCGCGTGCAGTGCGTGGCCCAGAGCAGCCAGCAACAAGGCCACACCGTGATGGGAAAAGAGGAACGCACAGAGCCAGGCTTCCACCTCGTCCCAAGGAGACTGACTGGCAGAGACCGTTCCTGAACTGGGGATAACGCTGGGGCTTCATACTAAAAACTCCTTGATAAATTCCTAATAAACCGATTATCCTACACAGCTGAGGGACCCCACTCCTTTTTCTTCCACCTCAAGAATCAGTAACAAACCTTCTCAACTTGAACATGACTAGGAAGAGATGGAGCTCATCTCAACTAGGGACTTAACAAGGCGAGGCAAGGCTTGCGGACACTCCCCGGACTTCTGGATGAACGAGCGTCTCGTCTCGGTTAGGGATCGAGGGAGTGGTGACCCGCAGCACAGCCAGCTAGGACAGCGAGGCGGGGCTCAGAGTCTGACCACATCCCACCCCATGCCCCAGGGGCAGCTCTCCCACCGCGTGCAGGCCTCACTAGGTCTCTCTTCTCACCCGGCACCTCTACTGCTCTCCTCTGCCCCCCACTTCTGCATCCGTGCTGCCTGGGCTACCGCTGGCCACAAATTCGTTCATGGCGCCAGATCCCTGCCCTTCACTACCTGAGGTCAGCTTCTAGAAGGGTCCCCGGTCGCGGCCTGCGCTGATCACCAATGCCAAGTGAAGAAAGGCTGGTGGTGACCAGCTGGGAAGTTTTCACCCAAAATAACAGCCTACTTCTCTGGTCTTCTTCAAATACTACAGATCTTCTTGGCAACAAACAGGACCTTGCTTTCTCTGTCAGCAGGCCTGGGAGAGGCGCGGAACAGTCCCTCTCATCCTCTGGGGGCGTGGCGGCAACCCTCCCACAGCACAGCGCTCGGGGGAAGGCACAGAAAACAGCAGCTCACCTTTAGGGCCCGATCTGGGGTCTTCTCCTTCACATAAGAACACGTGGTCCTGCAATGAGGCAAAACCCCAGGTCAGTAGGTGATTCTCACGTTTTACCCTCCCTCAAAAGGATGATGAAACTCAAGGCATAAATGGGCTTGTGTACATCTATGGTGGAGAGTTTCACCCACGAGTGAAGCGGAGGGAGCAGTGCCACGAGGCCCCCGCGGCAGTGACGAGAGCTCACCACCACCCAGACCTCAGCCACACACTTCCCACCACAGTCCCTCCGCCCCTTGGGCAGTCTGTAAAGCAAATCTCAGTATTTCAATTACCCACAGATATCCGATTTAAAAATGTCCTTTAGGGGTGCCTGGGGGCCGGGGGTGGCTCCGACAGTTATGTGTCCAACTCTTGATTTTGGCTCAGGTCATGTTCCCAGCACTACACTGCATGGACTGGAACTTTACAGTGAGTTCTGAGACTGGGAAGTGAGTTTTCTGACTCTGTTATTCACTGTTAACATGTCTGGCTAGTCACGATTCCCTGAGGATTTTAGGACAGTCTTTCCACTTAAAAAAAAAAAAAGTATAAAACCCAAACAAACCAAACACTATGGTAGGCACTTTGATAGGGACGGTATTCTTCCCCCTGCATTTTTAGCGGGGGCGGGGAGGGAGGAGCAGACAGAGGATCCCACGCAGACCCCCTGCTGAGCGCAGAGCCTGATACGGGGCTCGATCTCACAAACCTGAGATCATGGCCCGCGCCAAAACGAAGAGCTAGACACCCAACTGCGCGGCCCAGGCTCTGACGGGGACGGGATCATTTAAACCTCTTCTCAGTTGCCAGGACTGCGGACTGCCCTCTAGTGGCCGCTGTGTGCAGTCCTCTACTTCCTGTCGCCCGGCCGACCCGTGGGGTCAGTTAGGCGACGGCTGGTCTGATGGGGACCTGACCTTCTGACCAGAATTTGACGGTGGGCTGTGATGTTCTGTAAGGACCTGCACTTCTGGCTGTCTCTTGCGACGGCAGCCACGGACGCTCGTTGCTGAGCTCCAGGATTTTACGACGCGTCAGCACAACGGCGGCATCATATTCCGTTACTCCTGCGTTTCTGGCTGAGCAGCCTCAGAACAGGACAACTCCCTCAGCAGCAGCCCCCCGGGATGTGACTCCTGCAGAGATGCTGTCCTCTGCTCCGAGCCACAAATCAGACTTTCAGAAGTATTATCACGAACCCCAGAACTCTCAATACTGGTTGAATTTTAGTCCAATGCGATTACCGTACTTACTGATGACGACTAAAAACACGGAAATTTTACATGTTCAATTCTACGAAGAGCCGCACAGCAGCCCGTCGGCAGGGGGCAGCGTCCCCAGGCTTCATTCACCGCGACACCGGAGCTGGTTTCTGCGCTGACTCAGGGGAGCCGAGAAAGCCCATGACTAAGGACCGCGCTCGGCAGAACCACGCCACCCACGTCCGCCTCTTCCTGGCAACGCAGTGCAGGCACCTCACAGCCGCACCAAGGAGTCCTTGGCTCCATTTTTGTCTCCCTTACTTCCACGTCTGCTGGCTGAATGTAGCCCCTACCTTGGGTTTGTTTGGGTGTGCCAGAGGAGAAGTGGCAGCAACTGGGGACCCAAAAATGTCACTGGTCTTCCCGCCAGGTGGGTTCAGACGCTGTCGAGTGTGCACAGGCGTGGATTCGTCGAAGATGCCGCTTCCCTTCCCCCCTGCAGAAACAGTTCCGTGACAGTGAGCACCCACGACAGCCCCCCGGTGCCACCCACCGCCTTCATTACTTCAGAGACTCCCCTCGCAGGGACGCCCCAGTGCCAGTCCCTAGTTCGGGCCCACAGAGGGGGTGACCAGGTTGGGGAGCCGTACGTCAACATCAACCCGTTTATCGGGGGCCTGCTGCGACCGTCACTTCTGGAAGCTGACCTCGGCGGGCCTCTAGCATTTCCCACTTGGGACTTCCTTAACCTTGAACTTGTGTTGTCCTGTTAAAGGATCTTCTTCCTTAAACCCATGGAAAGTTCTTTATGTTAAAAGCAAAGAGCTATTGCATTTTAGACCAAATACGTAAGAAATGAACTCAACCACATGTCATATTCAAGGCAAACCTGTCATCTGGAAAGTAACACCCATTAGTCATTCTGCTGACCTCATTCTGGCGGCGACAAGCAGTGGCAACGAGACATGTCAGCAAATTACAGACACGTGACATCCTACAACGCAACTCTAAGTGATCTGACGAGCCATAATGGAAATAAGCACTGAGCATGTAACTTGTCATAAGCTGATGAGTCTGGCCAGACAGCAAAGTCGACGCCCAAACGCCTCCGTTAAGCAGAAAGACGGCCACACACACCCCGGCTGGCGTCTCTTCACTCGGCAACCGCCAGCACCTTTGTGCGGAGAGCTGTGCTAACGGAGGTGGGCCGCCGGCCGTGGCCCTGGGCACCAAGAACTCAGTCTCACAAGGAGAAAGAAAGAGCTTTCCGCTAACTAGCTAGCTAGGTGACCACACACATTAGCTGGCCTTTCTGTGCCTTCAGGGGCTCAGCTGCAGAAAGGGCAGAATGAGAGGACCTGAGAGGCAGGTCCGGAGCTCATGCATCAGACGGTCAGAACGATGCCAGGGTCACAAACGCTCAACAGGGGTTCGCCGCATCCCCCATGCACTGATAAAGAAGCGTCTCCTGGACGTACACACCGCGCAGGGCAGAAGGGCAGAAGACAGTCCGTACGGCGAGCAACGTTTCAATGAAAATGGAGGGGGTTTTCTCACTTCGGGGCATCTGCGTAGGAAAGCGGTCACTCCACTGCCCCCTCCCCGAATGTGGCTCCCTGCGGACGGGCTGCAGGACTCAAGACTGCTTGGCATGTCCTTTCTCAGAGCTTCGTTTTCGAGGGCCCATGTCACAGGCAGTCACTTCCTGGCTGAAACCGCCCACGCGGCGAACAGAGAAACAGAGCCCGCAGGAACGACCAGGACGCCTCGCTCCCTGCGGGCCCGCGGGGAAGGGCTCCATCAGGGGTTCGTGCTCTCACTCGCCCACACAGCCATCCCAAGGGTCCCCGCAGCCCGAGTGGACGGAAAAACAGAGAGGCCTCTGGGATGCGGCCGCCCGGGGACATGGAGCACAAGCCCAGCGAGGACTGGAGCAGAGCAAGGGAAGAGCCCTTCCGGGGCAGGAGAACCGGTCAAGAAGGCGCAGGGCTGCTCGCGCAGGGGACAGACGTGCACTCGTGTCATCTTTGCGCCCACACACCTCACCTTCCAGGACCCACAGGCCCGGGCCGGAGATACAGCACAGCACAGTGCCGGCCGCCCGCTGGAGCCCGGACAAGGGGCTCGAACCGTCTTGCCTCCATCTATCAACACTGAGGAGGTCGTAATTTAACAAGAGCACCGACCCTGGGGCCACTGGTGACACAAGCGAGTGAACGCACGTGAAGCAGGCAGGGCGCCTCCTGGCAGTGTCAGCCCTCAGGGCGCTGCTGGGCCGCCGCCAGCGAGAGCACCTCCACCACCGAGGGGGCAGAACTCCGGCTTCAGCTCACCCGACACCGCTGCTTCTGGTTGTGCTACAAAGGCCTAAGTACATTCTCTTTAAAAGGTGCGTTCAGTTTTTTAAAAAGTGGAAAATAAAAGTAACTCAATTTGAAGTTTTTGGCTAAAGACACTGCTCATCAAAAGAATTTATTATTATTTTTTTAAGATTTTATTTATTTATTTGACAGAGAGAGAGAGAGATCACAGGTAGACAGAGAGGAAGGCAGAGAGAGGGAGGGGGAAGCAGGGTCCCCGCTGAGCAGAGAGCCCGATGTGGGACTCGATCCCAGGACCCTGGGATCACGACCCGAGCCGAAGGCAGAGGCTTAGCCCACTGAGCCACCCAGGCGCCCCCCAAAATTATTATTATTTTTTTTTTTTAAAGATTTTATTTATTTATTTGACAGAGAGAGATCACAAGTAGATGGAGAGGCAGGCAGAGAGAGAGAGAGAGACAGAGGGAAGCAGGCTCCCTGCTGAGCAGAGAGCCCGACGTGGGACTCGATCCCAGGACCCTGAGATCATGACCTGAGCCGAAGGCAGCGGCTTAACCCACTGAGCCACCCAGTCGCCCCCCCAAAATTATTTTTAAATTATAGAACATAACCCGAAAGTTCCTAAAACTTAATAGCCACAGATAACAGAGAAGCCAAGGGCCCCGGTAACTGGCACCTGGAGCGCACAGAGCACGACGGGCTCCCAGAACCCTGGGCGTCCTCCCCACACCCCAGGTCACCAGACGCCCGCGCTTCCTGCAGACCACAGACCTGTTATCGTTGGTACATTTTTACTGTGTATGTTCAACTCCAAACAACGCAGTTCTGCTTCTGCACATTATATAAAGGACCCTGCATGTCTGCTCGTCGACATTTTGCCTGGACGATGAACTCAGGTTTGAGAAGGAAAAGGTGAATTTAGTCATAAATAAATTCAAGATAGACTTTTAAAAAACGTTATTTCCTAGAGGGAGACAGTGACAGAGCGAGCGAGAGCAGGAGGTGCCCCTCTCAGCTTCCTGACCGGCTGGAGGGCCACGGCACGGACCCGGCATTGAGTCCCTGCAGCGGGAGATCCAGATGGACTCCCCGATGCTGCCGCCTGACTCGCCGGACCTCCAGGAGCCCCGAGGCCCACAGCCTGGGCCTTGCTGCCGGGGGTGGACCCCGCGACAAGACTCACAGGAACATTTCCGAGGGCTGGAGCCCTGGGCCCAAAGTGGAAGCTCAGCTTCGATGATTCCGCAGGTTCATCTCAGACACACTCTGCAGCTTAAGCAGCCACCTGAGCCACCGCCCAGCCGTGGCAGGGTCAGGACACCTCTACTCCCCGAGCGATCCTTTTCAGTATTGTATTTTTATTATTATTATTATTATTATTATTGTTACTAATATTATGACGCGATCTTTTTGCCATCAAAACGAGGCCTGTGAAATATAAGGTTCCCTTTAGTGCCTTTAAAAAAAAAAAAAAAAAAAAAGCCAGGCAGAAAGTCACCCCGACGCCACGCCGAGTGCAGAGCCCAACGACCTGAGCAGAAATCAAGGGTCAGACATTTGACTGACTGAGCCCCCAGGCGCCCCCTAAGATATGCTTTTATAAGAACCAAACTGCAGAACACAGACACCATGCTGGCAGAGTGGGCAGCGAGCATCGCACACACGGTGGGACGCGCCAGGCCCCTCTTATGACCGGTCGGAAGCGTCTATCAGGATTTTAAACTGACCCAGCAATTCCATTTCAAGAAACTTACCCAGGGGATGTTTCAGGTTAAGTTTAGAGCATGAGCTCTGGGATCGAAAGGCCACTGGTGCCATTGGCTAGGAGTGAGCTCCGGGGGTGGCAGTGACCCTCCCCAAGCCTCTGTTTCCCTCTCTGTCCAGGGGCGCCCCCACACCTACCTCCTAGGGGTGGAGAGGCAGCCAAACGAAAACACGGAAATCACTAAGCACAGTCCCTGGCAAATGTGGGAACTGTCCACACGTCTCCTGCACCAGAGTTAGAGCAGCGAGAACAATCTGGAAGATGTGAGCCAGGCAGCCAGCAGAGCCCGCTCAAGAAGGGTAAAGAAACAATGGGGGGGCACCTGGGTGGCTCACTGGGTTAAACCCTCTGCCTTCAGCCAAGTCATGATCCCAGGGTCCTGGGATCGAGCCCCGCATTGGGCTCTCTGCTCAGCGGGGAGCCTGCTTCCCTTCTGCTCTCTGCCTGCCGCTCTGCCTACTCATGATCTCTTTCTGTCAAATAAATAATAAAAATTAAAGAAAAAAAAAAAAGAGAGAGAGAGACACTGAGTGTGACAACCCTTGGCGAATGCTCAGTGACGATCACGGGCTCAGTCACTCCCATCACCCCCCAGTCTCGCACCCCCACCCCCATCCTGGACCCGTTTCTCAATCAGGCCTTCTCATCAGAGGGCAGGGGGCACACTGGGAGCTTTCCCTTTCAGCCTTCCCTTGAGAATTCATCACAGACTGTTTGCCGAGAGCACTTGCTAGGAGAGAAAACAAACCCCAAAGACAAAACAGCCGCAGAAGCAGGCACCCGGCACAGGGAGTGAGTCCAGCGGCCGTCGCCGCATCTTGTGACCGTGCACCACACAGAGGCTCTCTATGTCCCCGCTCAAGAGGGGCCCAGGCTGCCGGCAGGAGAACCGGAGGCCGAGGGTCCGGAGGCCGAGGGTCCGCAGAGCGGCAGTGCCCCAAGCTACCACGCTCTCCAGGGAACCCAACCCCCCCAGGGGCAGCTCTGGACACACGGAGCCGGCAGCCAGCCGGTACGGAGCTGACACATGGTGGCTGTCCTGATGTCGCCGATACAAAGGGTGTGTGGGGCTGACCGCGCCGGCCCCACACCTGTAAGCTGGACGCGACAAGGGTGTTCCTCACTTTTAAGAACCACCTGCTTCTACTGTATCCCAAACTTTAACCCTCCACCCACCCCAACAACCAAAGCCCAAACTAGCTTTTGAACCTACTGCTTTTGCTGCCCTGGGTTAGGTCCCTGGCACAGGGCGGGGCCCTCACGAGCTTCGGCTCTGCAGGACTGAACTGCCGGAAATACAAAGTCCTGTGTCAGGCCTCTCACAACCTTGTTTTCCCTTGGGGACACAGGATAGGGAGAGCTCCTCAGCCAACTATCCCCATACGGTCGGTCACTCAACTGGGGAGCCTACCGGCCAGGAAAAAGACTTTTCTAGGATTCTTTCCCACTGTGACTACTGTAAAGGGGGACCGGCACTGAAGAACTACGTGGATGGGGTCATCCTTTATAGAGCTCTGATCCCAGTGACGATCTGAATCAGAGGAACCTCTCTCTGAAGAACATTTAAAAGCACAACTTGCACACAATTTCTGGCACTGCAAGGACCACTGGAGAACTGGGAGGGCCTACCTGGTGGGAGCCAGAATCCCAGCATCCACCCCTGTGACCTCAGTGCCTGGACTCAGCCACGGTCTGGTGGCAGAGGGAAGAGGATTCAAGAATGACTGAGCCAGGGCGCCTGGGGGGCTCAGAGGGTTAAGCCTCCGCCTTCAGCTCAGGTCACGGTCTCAGGGTCCTGGGATAGAGTCCTGCATCGGGCTCTCTGCTCACGGGGAGCCTGCTCCCCTCCCCCCACATACTTGTGATCTCTGTCAAATAAATAAATAAAATCTTTAAAAAAATAAAAATAAAAATGACTGAGCTGGGAACGCCTGTGGGACTCAGCCAGTGAAGCCGCTGCCTTGAGCTCAGGTCATGATCTCAGGGTCCTAGGATCGAGTCCTGTGTCGGGCTCCACACTCAGCCAGGAGTCTGCTTCTCTCTCTCCCTCTGCCGCTCCTCCTAATTGTGCACACTCTAATAAATGAAATTTTAAGACACCTGGGGCACCTGGGTGGCTCAGTCAGTGGGTTAAAGCCTCTGCCTTCGGCTTGGGTCATGATCCCGGGATCCTGGGATTGAGCACCACATCGGGCTCTCTGCTCAGCAGGGAGCCTGCTTCCTCTGCTCTCTCTCTCTGCCTCTCTGCCTACTTGTGATCTCTGCCAAATAAATAAATAAAATCTTTAAAAAAATATATAAAAAACAAACAAACAAAAAAATAAACAAAACAAAACCGTCCTTACATTCTAGAACTCTGACAGCAAGGGATAACCTGTACCGGAAAACATTTGAAAGGGCTGACACGAAGAAATAAAAAAATGTTATCAGAAGAACAGCAGAAAGCAGAACAGGCAGAGGCCAAAGGACTGGTGATTCACAAAGGCCCATACCTGGAGGGTTGGTCCTTTTAGGGATGTTCTGAGGCTCTTCGGTTGGTCCAAAAATATTCGATGCCATCCTATTGGGCCTGCTGGAAGGAGCAGCTTCTTCTGGACTTCCAAAAAGATTGCTGGCCTCTCCTCCCGGGGGCTTCATGGCCCTAAGAGCAGAGAGCACCCGAGACTCATGGATCGCCCTGATTCAGTGTGCATCCGTCTGACCTGGTCCCCTCTGTCCTGCGCCCTGGCCTCACCCATCTGCACGGCCCCTGAGCACCTGTCGCCGGAAGCTGGTGCCAGACCCCGTGCACGAAGGGTGGGTGACAGCAGGTTGTGCACCTGGAGCAGCTTTATTTGCCGGGAAAGCCAGTGCCACAGGTGCACGGGGCTCTAGCGTTCCCATCAGTGATGCCACTAGCCCTGGGTCTTAGTGGAACCCCTAAGACCCCTGTGGAGAAACAAAGCCCATATTGAGTCTGGGGTCTCTGTCCGGGAAAGACAGCCTCACGGCAAAGCACATAGCCAGAGTTGTTTGAAATGACCAAATGGTTAAGTTTGGGTGGTGGAAATGCAGTATTTATTACATTATTCTGTGTACTTTTGCTTTACTGTACTTTGAAAACAAGGGAAGAAAGCAGCACAGTGGCCCAGCTACACAGGAAGGGACAGTGGCAACGCGATGGGCGGCAGGGTCCCCCCACCTTGCGGGGGTCATGCAGATCCCCCAGGCTGCCCCAACAGGGTCTCGAATAAGGGGACTGAGAATGAAGAGGTTATTCTGATAAAAACAGAACCCACGATGGCTCAGTGTGGCCTTCGCCAGGCTCCCCATCAAGGGCACTTACCTCCAGGACACAAATTACAGAGGGAAGGTGGGAACACCAGAGAGCTCAGAACTGACAGCGAGGGGACGCGCCGAGTACAGCTACCTTGTCCTCTCGTGTACCCGCCAGTGCTCTAGGAGACGGTGAAGTGCACAAGCAGAGCCAGAAGGCTCGTGACAAAGAGCCACAGAGACAGCTCGAGGGGACGATGGCACCAGCAACGGCAGGAAGACAAAAGCCACTCTCGCCTCCAGGTCCAGAGCCTCCCCCCAAGAGCTGGTGTCTTTGTTTCAGAAAGATTCGGGGGGATGGGTCAGACTTGGAGAGAAGCCGTAATGGAGAGAGACCCGGATAAATTCTTTACCGGCGCGGTCTGCGGCGCAAAGGGACCACCTCCCGCTGGGGACAGCCGAGGCACCACAAGTGGACGGTTCCAAGTCCCCTGAACATCGGATAACCCCTCGGCAAGAAAACAGAAGACGCAGGGCCTGGTGGTCTTCAGCCCCTGACCTGACTCCCACCCTCCAAGGCCCAGCAAGATCAGAGGCCCCGCGAGGCCTGTCCCGCCCCTCAGGGCCTTTAAGACGGCTGCGGAGACGCAAACCATCCGGCTGATCCCAAGCAGAGGCTCCGGCTTCGTGGATCACCCAACCGGGAAGAACACTCTTCCTCCGCCTCCTGAAAGGAAAAATCCTCCTTCTCCTAATAGCGTCTCCGGCAAGAGAGCCCCCGGAGAAGTGTGGCGTAACCGCCCCCCCCGGCCGGGCCCCGCCACCCCCCCCCCCCCCCCCCGCCCCGACAGCAACCGCCCTGCAGGTCCAGGGGGTTTAATCAGGAACGGCCACGTTCGCGGGGCCTCCGGGGCCAGGCTGCGGAACAGACGGGCTGAACCCAGGAGAGCTGGGACACGGCGTCCGAGCGCCGGAGCACCAGGATCCGGGCCCCTCGGAACCCTGCGGGATAAACCTGTGCTCCCATCGCTGCACGCGGAGACGTGGCTGACTGCGAGTCACCGTTCCGTGGTCGGATGACTGATGACTGAACACTGACCTAACTCCCCCAGACTTACAGGGTTTTCGGCAAGTTCTTTCCCCTGTCACCTACTGGATGTGGTTTTACCTCAACAGCTGTCGCATACACACTCTTTTCTACCGTTTAGGGCAAGGCTGGGGGACAGAGACGATCCCACAGTAATGAAAGCTCATAGGCGTCTACAATCCCCGAACCTGACAAGGCGAGGTGGCCACTAGGGGAGCACGGAGCCAGGCCCCAGGGGACCCCGGGATTAGGGGAGCCTGGCGCCAGGCGGGGGTGGGGTGGGGCGGGATTAGGGGAGCGCAGCGCCAGGCTCCGGGAATCCCGGGATTAGGGGAGAGCGGCGCCAGGCCCTGCGGGACCCCGAGATTAGGGGAGCGCGTCGCCCGGCCCTGGAGGCCCCAGTATTAGGGAAACGCGGCGCCAGGCTCCGGGAATCCCGGGATTAGGGGAGCGCAGCGCCCGGCCCTGGAGGCCCCGAGATTAGGGGAGCGCGACGCCCGGCCCTGGGGGCCCCGAGATTAGGGGAGCGCAGCGCCCGGCCCGGGGGACCCCGGGACAGAGCCCAGGACGCTGACCCCCCACCCCGCGGCTCCGTCCCCCGCGCACGGGCGCTAGCACGGCTACCGGAGGGCGCGGCCCCGCCCACCCCCTTGGTCCCGGGCTCCCGGCGGCGGCCCAGCACACCGTTCGGCCAGCGTCTCCGGCTGAGGACACGAGGGGAACGTGGGCCCAGGAGGAGCAGCGCGGGCGGCGCGCCTCGGGCCTCCAGCCCACAGCCTGCGGGGCACGGGAGAGCGTCCGGACCGAGCGCCCGCCTCTCGGAGCGGGACGCGGGGACCGCGGCTCTGTGAGGTCACCCGGCACCCGCACCCGCGCCCGCCACGCACCTGGAGCCGGCCCGGGCGCCCTCGCTCTCCGGGGCCCGAAACATGTCGCCTGTGGTGCGGGACCTCCTCTACCGCCACACCGCGGTTCCCGCCCGGCCCTACGCAGCGCGAGGACCGCCCACCCGCGCCTATTGGACGCCGTCGACGCCAGTCACGCCGCCGCCGCCTATCGCGGCGCCGGGCCGCGCCCCCGCCCACCTGGACGGAAGCCCCGCGAGGCTCGCGCCGCGCTCGCAGCCGATTGGTGACAGCAGATGCCGCTCAGGCCTCGGGCGCCGACATTGGGCATCAGGGCTGCCGGATGGGCCCTGATGCTCCTGCGCAGGCGCAAGCACGCACTCCGGAAACGCCTCCCGGTAGCAGGGGGCAAAGCCCGGGGGACCGCTGGGAGTCGCGCGGGTCTGCCGGTGGCCGCGCAGCCGCGGGGCCCGATGCCGGGCCGCCAAGAGCCAAGCCCGCCGCAAAGGAAACAAGGCTCACTCGAGAAGTATTAGATCAAGTATTAGTATGTATTTATGCACAATAATAAAAACAGATTTACAAGTTGAACTGGAAATTTAAACATAAGAAGTTTAACAGCTTTTATTATATTAAATAACCAAAACACCTTTTATTCCCAAAATTGGTAAAGAATAAATAATATAATTTACAATATGGTACAAAAAATAACCAGGAAGGACAGGCATTCTGCTTTGTACATACACTGTATATGCATATTTATAATCCGTACAACAGATTCACGTCTCCGGCGAGCCGAAACCTCGGGGATATGGCTTAACGATTACTACCGGGAACCGCGGAGGGCGGCGCCCCTACCCCGCGGCGGACACAGGGTCCGGCTCGCTGCCGTGCTCCGACTCCACGCGTCTGCGCTCCCCGTGAGCCGCGGGTCCCGGGGCAGGTTTCGCTGGGGGTTCCTTCCTCCTAAGACAAAGTGCCCTATCTTCTCACAAATGCGTCTGATAGATCTCAAGCTCTTTAAACACAACAAAAAAACCAGCAACTGCTACTTTCCTCCTCTACTTGCTTCCAGTGTCTTATTCCGTGACTTTTCTTGGCCCGAGTTTGGATTCCATGCTGTGATCTAGTTGAGAGGCTATTCCACTGGAAAGGACGCCTTTTCTGGGATCCTGTAGCTAAGCAGCGGGAGATGTGGGAAAGCAAGTAGATCAGTGGGTGAACTGTTTCCAAATACCCCTCCCTGAGCAAGTACTCTACACCTAGCAGATAGGACAGGTGAGGGCCACATCCTCACAGATGCTCCCGGTCACCAGCCTCCACTTAACACTTCCCGCTGCATCTTCTAAGCTCATCACAGGCCACAACACCAACTCCATGAAGACCAGAGATACTCAAGTCTCCGTCTTCACAAAAGCTCAATCAGCAAAAGGTCCCAAACATTAGAGCGACTAGGGAGTTTTCTGAGGGACGGATCTGGTCTTACAGCATGCTCAAATGCATGAAGAAAGCCACACGTGCACACCAAGACTACGACTTCCGTGGGACAGGAAGAGGGGAGTTTCTCTGCTTGGGTCTTTTGAAAATTCCAGCCTTTGCCAGCCGCTTATGTTTATACACATGTATTCATTTAGGCTGGGAAAAAACAGACTCATTCTTTTTAATTCTACTTTCCCTTTAACAACAGCAAGCAAATGCTTAGACCTGTCAGGTTGCCGCAGCAGTAGCAGAATTCTCTGGAATCGTGTCAGCTTTGCTACAGGTGAGAACAATCAGCCCACTGTCCTCCCTAATCCACCTGGCCCCTAGGTGACACTCCAGATGGAGTCTGTGGTTAAGGCCCTAGCGGAAGGTACCACTGAAGAGCCTACAAAAGCTGACCCCAAATCCCTAGTTTTCTTCCTTTTACGTGTCACTGAATCACCGGGGCCAGCCTATGTGCCAGACTGCCTCGGGGTGTCCCCTGATGAAAGCAGCTGAGGACCCCTACCGTCTCTGGCAACATGCACACTACCATCAGGTCCTGCTCCCAGCATCGATGCCTTATGATACTGCGGGTGTCTGGTCCCCAACAGTAGAGTATGAGTAAGTTAGTGGCGGCCTAAACTTGGCCTGGCATCCTAACCTACTACAGACCTAACAGAGTCTGCGGCCCAGAGCGCTCCACGGCTGTCACCCCCTGCGGCTGGCGCTCATTTCAGGAAGCTGGCAGATGGACAGCTAAGCCGCACAAGCTAGTTCAAGGACACTCTGGTTCAAATGATGCTATGTCTTCCTAAAAGGGCACGTCCCTCTCTTCTCCATCTCCAGAGCCTCGGGACTTTCTGTAAGAGCCCAGGAGAGCTGCCCACAGTGGCTTTTATTAGTGATGTTTGTACCTAGAACCAGACCTGAAAGAAAACCACGTGACAGGCAAGAGCTCTGAGAAAAACTTGAGAAGAAGGAAGGAACGTACGAGCTGGAAGGCCAGCTGGCCTCTCTTCCCTCCGTGGCTGGGGTGAACGGCGCTGCCCGCAGCCAGCTGCGGAGACCGTGGCACCGGGAGCACCCGTCCTCCTTGCACACGCAAGAGACCTTTTCTGTTCCCTTACACGCTGCCTCATCTCTCCATTACAGAGAGGGAGAGGATCCTGGGGGGAGCGCCTGGGGTGGGACTGCCGCTCCACGGCAGGCAGGGGCGGAGAGAGAAACTGTCCTCAGTTCAGGTGGGTTTCAAAAGCCGAAGTGGTCCAGACAGCAGGCGGAGGATGAAGCCGCAGGGGGACAGTGGTGCACAGGGCGCTCCCGGACCCACACCGCAGCACTGGCTGCTGGCTACGATGGATGGGGGCTGGATGGGGCTCTGCCTGTCAAGCCTGCCCCCAGGCCAAGAAGCAGAGCAGCCCCATCAGCTCTGTTCCGGGCAAACTCTGGGCACTGACCCGCCGGCAGTGATGGCAAACGGTCACCCAAAGGAGGCCCAAGCACATGAGAGGGACGTGGCTTTTGCGTGCTCTGACTGCGCCCAGGCGTCTGCACCCTCTTGCGCTCCCTGCGCTGGAAGAAGAGACACAGGACCACAGGGTGGGGGAGACGTGAAGGAGGAAACGTGTGCACGGGGTGGACTCCGCACAGAAGCCTGCGGAAGGAAGAGGAGGCTCTGGAGAGGCAGAGACCTTCCCAGAAAGGGCGCGCGTGTGAGCGGCAAGGCAGCAGCGCCCAGGTGGTTCGGGAACTTGTGGGCCAAAGCACCGCTGCGGACCCAGCAAAGGACGTCTTCGTTGACCAAGAAGCTTGAACACAGGAAGGAAACCCTGAATTTTTTTCTTCTTCCACGTCTCCTTATTCTCAAAACACAAGGAAAACCTTTTCCAACCACTTCAGCAGAATTTTCTCCTGAAAGTCCACGCAAGCTGCACAAAACCGGATTCCCTCCTCCTTCCCGTTGAGCCAGTCAGAACAAAGCTCCAGGGGGAGCGCTCACTCCGCAAGGGCCCGTGTTTCTGGGGGACGGCGCCAGGTGTGCTGCCCTGCAATCCGGGCGTCCTCCCAAGTGTCCGCTGAGGACACAGACCCCACCAGGCAGAGCCCGGCCGTGCCCAGCTGCCCTTCCCCGTCCTCTGCAGAGAGAGCAACCGCAAGGTGCACAGCTTTGGCAGAAAAAGAGCAGCAGCGGCCGGAACTGCCCCTGGAGAGCAGCGAGGCTGTGAGTCCCGGGGGCCGTGGCCACCGCCACACACCCACACTTTTCCCTCGGGAGGACAAGCCACTACAACGTCCAACACGACAAGTGAGGCAGACACACGGGTGGGAATGTGGCCACCACGCGCTGTGCCACGGCCAGCAGGGAGCCGCTCCAACGGCACAGCAGCGACCGACACGGGCCCTCCTAGAGAACCCGTCCTGGTCTCCTAGGCCACCACGGCCCTCTGCCCTTTGGGACACGGCTTCCTGCCTGGTGCACATTCTGGGGCACAGAGGTTCCTCTGTTCAGATCATCTCCAGGGGGCTCCTGGGCTTGTTTTCTCTAGCCTGTAGAGAGCTGCTCCTACCACCGTGGAGGACCACCAGCCCTCCTCTGCAGCCTCCAGGATGCCCCACGAGGGATGAGGTGTGGTCACTGGGACAGGTCACCGACAGGGTGGCCGCCTCCGCTGCCATCAAACAGAGCCTCTCGGCGGCTGGGCTCGGCGATGGACAGCTCTTGGGCCAAATCGTTGAATCGAGATATGTAATCGATGCTGTTTTCATTCATCATGCACGCCAGCTGGGAGTCCACAACCTACAAGGCAGAGGACACAAGGACGTCCAGGTCAGCAGGCAGCTGGCTGGCCGCTGGCCTGGGAGCAACTGGCGGGGACTTCAGTGGGAGCTGAACGAACTGGGGAAGACTCGAAACCCTGGTCAACGAACCACGTTGGAAAATTCCGAGCAGACCTATGGCATGAACTGAATTTTAAGGGTTCACGACAGGGGCGTCAGGCTGGCTCAGTCGGAAGACCAGGCAACTTGTAATCTGGGACTCACGAGACTACTTCGATAAACAGACTTTTAAGCTTTTTAGGAGAAACGTCAAACTAAAACCTGTTTTCAAAAAGCAGAGCAACTAGTGCCTATCTTCCCCATACATGCTCCCCAGCAGCCGCCATCACTGTCGACGTGGGCCAGCCTGGACCTACCTTTCCCACCCCTCCTCACGCCCATTCTGTTCAAAGCCCATCAGGTGGGCCAGGGGTGGGCCTAGGGGTTAAACCTGGGGTGAACATGTGGGGTTGGTCTGGGGTGGGCCTGGAGTGAGCCTGGGGTGAACCTGGGGTGGACCTGGGCTGGGCCCACGAGTCTGCACTTGAAACAGCCCTGGGCACTGCTGCTGCTGCTCTGGAGACTGCCCAGAAGGGCAGAGTCCTGACGAGGGTCTCAGATACATGCGGCAGGCCCATCTGCACAGAAGCCGAGGGCTTATAAGCGCACGTGCACACGCACACACACGCACACACACAGGAGGGGAAAGATGGCTTCTCCTGTGACATCACACCCACAAGCAGTTTGAGAAATGCTGCGCACTGCAAGGAGGGTGTGCGCCGCTGTTCTGTCTGCGTCTATTTGGGTAGAATTTCTAGTCACGTCACCGCTCAGCTCTGAACTC